CCCCCCCACCCCCTCCAGCCACCCTTCCCCCACAAAACCCCTACCCATCTACATGCCACATATCTACACCCACATGCTCCCTCACCCCACACCGACATACCCACACCCTTCCCCACACCCACAGCCTCCCAGAAACCTATACCCACCCCTCATGACCCCACCCCATCACAACATACAAGAGTAAGACTTCATTTTAAGCTACTGTGCAATCACCTCTATGCACAGTACACAAATGTACGTAAATCAGGACAAAAATACTTTTTGAAATCAAATTGTGGAATGTTTTAGATGTTTGCTTTTTAGAATATAATTTGGTATTTTTCTGGTTCCAAGGTGGTAAAACCTGTTGCTGAAAGGAGTACTTCCGGGGGCAAAAGGAGGGACTTCTGGTGGCGAAGGTCAGGTTAGGGGGTGGGACTTCCAGTCATAAGATGGTGACCAGGGGGTGGGGCACCTGCTAAGGGGCAGGGCTTCATGGCCCTTGACAGCTTACCAAAACTTGATAAGCAGTTCTCCGTCCAAAATAATTGCCCACCCCTGGTTTAGAGATTGCAATCTATATATTACTGTAAGAACTTCAACAGCAAGACATTTTTTTTTAAATGTAACCCACTTCAATATAATGCAAAAATACAAACCCCCAGAAATAAAAACACATTTTTCCATTAAAGTTTTGAACTCCCACTACCTTTTCCCTACTCACTGCTCAAGGGACAGGAGTGAGGCCAGACCCCAGCTAACACTCTGAGGCAAAGGAGGGTTGCAGGGTGCAGTGCATGCATCTGTTGATAATACAGAGCTTTTCAATCCCCCTCCCTGCTTCTTTATACGGTCTGTAGCAAACTGACAGGGGAGCAAGCCAGCAGTGAGTTGATAACAATGTTTACCATCCGATCAGCAAAACAATAGCCTCTCTCCATTACTTTAAATTCTTCTTAAACAGCTTGCCAGCTGACCTGTTGATTAACTCCACACAGCCCAAAACAGCTACTGTTCTATCTGCGTGTCCCAGTGAAATCGTAGACACACACACATCTGCATTAGCTAGAATACCACATACCTATGGTCCATGGGGCTGGGATCCCTGCTGTGGGAGATGGGAGAGTGAGGGAGAAGGGTCCCTGCTTGAGCAGCAAGGGCAGGGGAGGGGGGTAGAATAGAGCAAAGGGAAGCCAGGCAGACCCTGCTGTGCCTGCAAGTCTCTGCTAGAGCTCCAGCCAGGGAGTAGAGGGGAGGGGCCAGCCCTGCTGTGGAGCAGAGAGCCCCACCCAGCCCAGAGAACATGCCAGGATGCTCGAGGTGTCTGGTTTACCTTAATCCAGCAAGGGGTCTGGGTCTGCATAAACCACTTTGAACCAAATCAGTTAAGTCTGATACTACATTCAACCAGATTTATCTCAAACCAGTTTCAGAAATTTACAAATTGGTTTATGTGCACTGAACTTCTGTTCTGTTACAGGTTTAAACCAGTTTCTGGATCACTTAAGCCAGTTCAGATGTAATGTCTGTCCCTACCCTAAGTGGCAGATATGAACTCAAAATGGATATGAAGAGTAGAGCTAGTATACTTATTTACACACAATTCCTTTCCAAGCCTCTTGTACACACTGGTAGATAGTCCATCATTTTCCTGCTCAATAACAAATAGGTGAGAAATTTTACTTCCAAATTCTAACACTTTATGGATTTTAAAATCCAGGGGTTTTAAATACAAAGAAAAAAAATAGATAAGCAATTTAATCTGAGGCCACAGTTGTTGGTTTTATATTCACATTACAGCAGGTTTTGTAACAGCAATTACTTACTTGTTAAAAAAAGGTTCAATGAGTTTTGATCTAGCAGATACGTGATTTTTTGGAGGACTGAGAAATGAACCTAGTGAACAAAGAAGAAATTCAGCATATAATACGTAGCTACACAGAGGATCAGAGAATAGATCTGGAAAAAGACTACAATACCCAGGAAATTAGCCATGGAGATGAAACACAGTCCTGTTATGTAAGCATCATAGCCTGCTTCGTGAAGCTGTTCAGAAGCTGTGTCGTAACTTGGAAATCCTTCTGCACTGTCTAAGGAAAGAAAAAAAAGTGTAAGGCAACCTTGTATATCTGACCACAAACTCGCATCGTATTTTGCTAATTATACAAAGCGTTTAAGTTTCGAACAACATAAAGCTTTGTTCATAGAACGGAATCCTATTCAGTAATCTCAGTCCCTTATATAGCGCACTCTTCATCCATAAATCTGGACCATAATGTAATTTTAACAGTTCTGTATCTATAGAGAAGATAGAAATGAAATCTGTGAAGTCTATTTTTCCAATATTTTTTCAATGCACATTCAGTACAGGAGCACATACTTTTATTTCAGTAGCAAAAAGACTGAAGTTTTCAAAAGTATCTGCATGACTTAAGACACAAAGCTATAAACTAGGGCTGTATGAAGCTTCAGTAACTGATTTGATTCGGAATAGATTCGGCAGCCGAATCCGAATCAAATGAGAAGCCTCCAAACTGATTCAGAGAGATTCGTAGATTTGTCCATAGACTGTACAGGCAGGCACTAGGCAGTGCCGGTGGGAGCAGCCAAACGAGCCCCAGCTTGAGATGGCAACCCCGGGAGAAGCTGTGGCTCATCCAGCTACTCCTCGCCGGGGCAAAGCAGGCACTGCTGACATCCCCGGGAAAAGCTGCAGGGGCTGGGAGATCAAACCAGGAACTGGAGAATTGAATTGGGAGCTGGGGGAACGAATAGGAACTTCCCCCCAGCTCGATCCCCCCAGCTCCCAATCATTCCCCCCAGCCCCTGTGGCTTCTTCCTAGGGCTTCTAACACTGCCTGCCTCAGCCTGGTGAGGGGGCAGCCAGGGGAGCAACTGGATAAGCCGTGGCTTGAGCCAGCAGTCCCAGAAGAAGCTGCAAGGTTGGGGGATGAAATCAGGAACTGGGGAATAGAACTGGGAGTTGGAGGGAAGCCCCTGTTCATTCCCCCAGCACTTGATCATTTCCCCCAGTTCCCGGTTCAATTCCCCAGCTTCCCAATCAGCCTCCCATGGCTTCTCCTAGGGCTGCCAAAACTGCCTGCCTTGCCCTGGTGGCAGGGGCAGATGGGGGAGTAGCCAGATGAGCCGCAGCTTGAGCCAACAGCCCCAGGAGAAGCCACAGGGGCTGGGGGGAATGATCGGAAGTTGAGGGAATGAACAGGGGCTTCCCCACAGCTCCTAGTTCTATCCCCCAGCTCCCCAAATCATTCCCCCCAGTCTCCGTGGCTTCTCTTGGGGCTGACAGCACTTCCTGCCTCACCCCAGTGCAGGGGGTAACAGGGAGAGGCGCGGCTTTTCCCGGGGCTGCCATCTTGAGCCAGGGCTCATCCAGCTGCTCCCACCGACACTGCCTGCCTTTATAGTCTGTGGCCGAACAAGATTCAGCACTGAATATCTTTGGATTTGAATTCGGCTGAACTGAATTGGGACAGTGATTCGAATCACTGAACTGAAATTGCTGTCCCTCTGAATCATCGAATCTGTAGCAAATACTTCCCACGTCACACAGGTCTACTATAAACTATATTTTCAAGACTGCCACTTGATTTTTCCAAGGCATGTAAATGAACAGACACAAACAGGTACCTAGTGGACATGTAGATTGCACTAGGTGTTATGTGCATCATGACATCTGAATCACTTGCAAAAATGGAATTCCCTTTGGAGCCTAGCTGAAGAAAAGTGTTCAAATATTTATACCTTTCATTTTTCTCTTAAAGTTACAGGCAAATATACACCTCAAATTCTTTCTTCAACTTAGAGCTATATAGCCTTTATGACTAAATTTCTGTGTCTCTGAAACCTGAGTATTGCCAAAACCTATCATCTGGAAAAGAAATAAGGCTGTTAAATAGCCATTTCCATCCTTCCCACCTACTCATGCACTACCAAGGCCCTTGCTACATTATACTTAAGACATGATTAACTAGTTAAAACACACATCTTAAGTTGTTACCCAGCCACACGTTCAATCAATTGATGGTGTCAAGAAGTGAGGAAGCCACAAAATTATTCCACAAAAAATATGGAATAAGTTTGAAGCCAATTCCTATGACTACATTAGCTGAATGTGTGGCGAGGTGTGCGTCGCAGGGCAACACGCCTGAGGGGCTGGACACCCCTGTGTGGGGGACAGAGAGGTGGCAAGGAGAACCCAAAAGCACGGGGATAGGGCCCAGAGAGAGCTGTGACCTGGAATAACTTACCTGGCCTACGCATAGTAGCGGGAGACACGGAACGGCAGGAAACACTGCCCACGTGCTTTATCAGCACACTTTCAGTGCAGCTAGAGTGGCACAGAGACGTGACATTATCAGCTGGCACTGAGAAGGGTGTTCAAAAACTGGCAAGAGATAAGGAGGTGGGGGGCAACAGCAGCAAGGTACCTACAGGCTCTTGGCCAGTGCATCCAGTCAGACTACGCCTTGGGAACACCGGGGACATAGCATCTCAGGGGAGTAACACCCTTGACTGTGGAAAAGAGAGGGACCAAAGATCCGATGGCCCAGTACACAACAGGAACGTGCGAGTGGGAGGAAGGCCACTGCCCCTGGTCTTCTATGTTTAGTTATGTGTTTCTCCTGGGGTCTGAAAGAAAGGTCGTGTAATTTTGCTGTCTGAACCAGAGGGCAAGAGACCAGGAGCTCCCACGGACTCTAAGGTGGAGGACTATATTTAGGCAGGCCCAGATGGCCCATATAATTGGGGGGGCATCTCAGAGGGTGAGACCATTGCTCCACAAGGTTTAAGCCTCACAGGTAGAGCATAGGTAGGAAGTCACCCAGGCCATTCCCCAGCAAATCCACAGACGCCACACGGGTTGGTCAACCCACCTAGAATACATAGTCGGGGCAGCCAGGGCGAGACAGCATGCTGGATCACGGGAGAGTCCAGACTTTCAACCACACAGCCAGAGACCAACACGTTGGCACGTGGATGGGATATAGGGAAAGTGAAGCCCCAAGGGACGTCCACCCGACGAGCCACCGAGTGAGTCCAGGGCACATGGGAGCCTCCTGCATCTTATTTTAAGAACAAGACATGGCGGACGAGCAATGGGGGCTTCCTTTAGAAAACAACACATGGCAGACATTAGTGCCAGAGATAGATAAAGCCCGAGTGTGGATCATCCAGCCCCAAGCCACTCAGGAGCCGTTGCTCAGGCTTAGATGGGCACAGTGTGGCCCCGCAGCTTGGAATCCCATCAGCTGAGTTGCCATGCATTCCCACAGGTGGGAGCTTGGATCAGCTGATGGAACTCTCAGCCACAGGGGCACACATTTCGTTAATGCACCCCTGTGGCTGGGACCCCTTTCAGCTGAGGGGTCTCCCAGTCATGGAAACTTACTACTTGCCAGTACAGGGGGAGCCCAGAATCGTGACCCTGGGCTCCCTCTGTATCAGCAATAAAGCACAATGGGAACTGATGTGTGGAATAGCAAGAAGCATGATTATGTGGATTGTGCATCAGATTCCATCGCATTGTTACTTGCACATCTGGCAGAGGCCTAACTGGTGCAGAGTAGAAGTTAACAAAAAAGTTATATTTACATTCTTGTCATTAAGATGTCTTCTCTTCTACTAGACTAAAGCTATGAAGACACAGCCATAAATATTGGGGTGTATTTTATATTGGTAAAGGAAGCTTGTGTTTAATAAAATAAAGCTATATCTATTGCTATATCAACTACCTGAATGATGGTTACAAAGAGAATAGAGCTAGACTGTTCTCAGTGGTGACAGATGACTAGGCATATCTTTCAATCAGGGAGTCCAGGACCAAAATTTCATGGGCCCACCATGGCGCTGGGTGTCAATTTCAGAAGCAAATTGCAGCCACCCCCCTCCCCCACATGCTCTGCCGCCAGGGGCAGCCAGCAGACACATGGGCTGCCACTGCTCCACTGCCCCTGCTCCTCACCCAGACCTGGCCTAAACGGGGAAAAATAAGTTCCCCTGCAGCCCAGCCCCTCACAGGCACAGAGACAGGCTACTGCCCACCACACTCCCCACCCCCCCACCCCTCTCCAGCCGCACGCAGGTGCAAGCAAAAACTGTTGCCACCCTGCTGACCCCTAGCCAGGCCCCACTGCTCTCCCCCCTGCCTCAGCACAGCTCTATTCCCCTTGGCCCTGTCCCCCACCCTCCACAGCACTCAGTCATCATGGGATGGGCCCCACCAGGCCAGGCAACCATAGCTGCCTAAAAAAAAGCTAGGCCTGTCCCTGTAAGCCCAGGCAGCAGGGCTGAGAGGCTACGTAATGGCAACCCTCTCACCAAATCAGCAGCTAGGGGTGGGGCATCTTGATTGCTGCCCAGGGAGGAAAAAACAAAGAAATACTTTTATTTTTACATGGAGTCCCACTTTTCCCTGCTTTTTTGTGGGGCTCCTTCCCCCACCCACCCCAGATTTGTCCAATTTTTTATGGAAAATGCCTGATTTTGCATTTTATGTGAAAACTACAAAAATCACAATTTCAGAACATCCCTATGGATGACACAACAAGGAGCAACACCCTAAAACTGCAGTAATGGAAGTTTAGGTTAGATATAAGGAATAGCTTTCTCACTAGGAGGGTAGAAAAGCTCTGGAACAGGTTCTCCAGAGAGGTTGTAGAGGTTTTTAAGACCTAGACAAAGCCTTGGCTGGGATGAGATAGTTGCAGATGGTCCTGTTTTCAGCAAGAGGTTGGACTAGATGGCATCTCCTGGGGTCCCTTCCAACCCTAACTTTCTGTAATTCTATATGCCTTATTTTGTATTTTAAATAGCTTAAGAATAACTTTAAATGTAAACACATTTCAAGTTTAAATGATACAAGAAAATTACACGGTGTATTAAATGTTTTACAAACAGTCCTTTCCTCAAGAAGTAACATTTCTAAAAAAAAGTGTAAACCCCCAACAACATAACCGATATAAAATTAACTGAACCAGAGTTTCAAATAATGACAACTTCCCTTTTAACTGTAGTGGATACCCATATACCTCCCTCCACAAAGACATAAATATTCCAATAACTTTAAACCTGCTTAATCGTGAAGGTTCAGTCCCCTGAACTGGTTATGACATCTCACTGGAGAGCTTAAGATTTAACCTAGTCAGCCAGCTGCAGTGGAATAGAGCCTGACAAGTTATTAAAAAAATTTTTTGGAGCATCATTCTAAACTGCAGCCAAAAAGGCTCACCAGATGGTCACCAAGTTTTATTGGATCCCAATAAGACGTTACCAGTGCACCACCACCATGAAAGGCACATACGGAATTAGGGAACCAAGCACCCAGCTCGCCCTGGTTGCCTAAAAGAATCACCAGAGAAGAGCAGCACACTTATTTACTGTAATTTCTTCTTTTGTTGCGGCTCCAGTTGATTAGAACTACAGTGCAATTGCTATGCGCATTTAGTATTCCAAATTACACACTGAGTAATTATACAGTTACGTGCCCATACAATTTTGCACATAAGAGGCATGACTGCACATAATTGCATAATTCTGGAAAATTTAACTGTGGCAGGCTCTGTGCCTCCACCTCCATGATATGGTGGCACAGAACCACACAACTGGATAGCTGGGTAGGTGGGGAGGGGAGCTCCTGCCTGCGGGGGGTGGGGGAGAATGTGGGCATGGGCCTTACACCAAAATCAGGCCAGAAGGGCTTTGTGCCTCCATGTGCAGCTTCCAGCACTCGAACAGGAAGCTGTATGTGGAGGCAAGCAGGAGCCCACCAGGCCCGATGGCACAGAACTCCAGGCCTCCGTGTGTGGCTTCCCGCTGGAGTGCTGAAAACCCCACATGGAGGGCTGGCCCGGTCTGATGGCACATGGACCAGGAGCTGTGCACCAGTGAGCCAGGCGGGAAGCCACGTGGAGGCATGGAGTCGCATGCCATCAGGCCGGGCAAGCTTCTGCTTGCCTCTACATGCTGCTTCCTCCTGGAAACCCCACATGGAGGTACAGAGCCCAACTGGCCCGATGGCATGCAGCTCCCAGTCTACGCACCATCAAGCCAGGCTGGGCCAGGCCAGGCCAGCCAGCTTCGTGCCTCCACATGGGGCTTCCAGCACCCCAGCGGGCAGCTGCACATGGAGGCATGGAACCCTCCCAGCCCGACAGCACATGGTTCCCACCTGCAGTGCTGCAAGCCTACGTGCTGGCACAAAGCCAGCCCAGTTTAATTCGAAGGCATGCACTAGCAGGCCGGGTACTGGGACTCAGCCAGAGGCATGCACCGTGGGGGCTCTGCCTGCTGCAGGCATAAGCACCCCGAGGGCCTGCTGAGACTCCAGCAGTGGGGCTGTGCACCATGGGAAGGGGTGTGGTGGGGGGGCCCCCACACCCATCTAAACATCCCCCCCACAACTCTCCCCACAAACCCCACACCCCTTCACAACTCTCCCCACACACCCACACCCCTTCACAACCCCATCTACAATTCCCTCCCAACCATGCAAAGTACCTGCATATATTTCTAAAAAAGACTCAAATAGTGTTATATTTTGTTTAAATTTGTAAGAAAAAAAATAAAAGTAATTAATTTTGCATCATTTTGAGGTTTTCTGTGCATAATTCCCTGGTGTATACTAAATGTTAGATTAGTTGAAACATCTCTGCTTACTTAAGGCAACATACCCACCGCTCCAACATGTGTTATACTGCCCAATATTTTCACCTCCATAGCAAGAAATGCATTCCAGAATCCTAAAAACAAACTTGTCTCTGATTACTTTAACCTCGTTTCATATTTCATTGCCTTAAAGTAATGCAGCTCAAAAAAATCTTAATTGTATTCTACAAGATAGAGTGAACTCTAATCATTACTGTGTTTAAAAAGTCCATCCAAGTATTACTAATTGACTAAATTAGTACTAAGTACTAAACTGGTACTTATAAATTTTAGCTTTCTGAGTAGTACATTTGCACACTGGTTTTAAACATAATAGAAAATTATTCACTACAATCAAAACAACAAAATAAATGTCAGTGAATGCTGACAAAACTGTTCATTCAATGTGCGCTATTTCATTTTGCAACCCAAAACAAAGCTATAACATGATGTCTACTACAGAACCCCATTCACATCAACTTTCACAAGAACTGTTGCAAGCAAGTAACCATTATTAATTAATTAATTTTAGGCCCAAGACTCAATAATGAATTTATCTTAACCTCTTCTGTAAAAGGAGCATAAGTAGAATAAGCACTTTTGTGCATCCTTACCAACTTTAGGAGGGTTGAATGGAATCTCTTTTAAACGCTTTTCCAGTTCTGCAAGGGACGTGTTATTAATTAGCTCCTAGAAACAAGACGGCACAGTATAAGTCATCACTGACACGTGCATTTTCCCCAGAGACTAAGTAAATGGGATTAGAAGAAACATTATTTACTACTGCCATCTTTGTGTCATTTGAGGAGGAACACAATCTAGTTCTAAACTCATTCCAAAAAGAACAATTCCAGAAAAGTTAAAAAATAATAATCTGCATGTATCTTTATAGATGTATATTTATATCAGAGACGCATCAGTTCTCTAGAAACTCAAAGAGTTGGTTATACTGAAACAGGTTCTACAGGAATCTTAAGTTAATACTAAGAAAGCCAGCAAGGAAAATTTACATGTCAGAGAGGCACATGGAGTGAAACTTAAGCAGCTCTTGCCTGGAAATATAACTGACCAAAAAAATATTTGTCAAGAGAAAAGGTTTGCTTTTAAAAAAAAAAAAAGTTAAAAAAAAAAAAGTGTTTATACAATGCTTTGTGAAGCTACTCGAGTCTTGTTTAAAAAAAGTTAAGAACCTACCAAGTATCTTTCAACCCAGTGGCCAACCTCATATTTATGTTCGCAATGTACTAGCATTCAAAGCCTCAATAAGTTATCCTAAGCACTAGATAAATATGAGGCCGTGTTTTCAATCCAAAATGCCTTCAATATAATACTTTAAGAAAATTATAAAAAATAAAATCACTACTGTAGCTTCAGTTAATACAAAAAGCAACATTTGTGTAACCAAACGATCAGTTTTTTAAGTTTCAAACTTTTTATTTGTGCTTCTGCTCAAGATAAGGCCAAAAATAGTTACTAGCCATGTTTATTGATCTTTACAAGCTGACATAAGAGCCAGGTTGTTTTAAGTTCTTTATCAAGTGCGTATAAAAAGCAATGCATTGTTTAATCACTCCTATTTATCAGAATTCATTCACTTGAAGGGCATGCAAAAGAAGTGTTAAGAGAATAAGCACTAGTTTGGGTACTTGTTCCTTCAGTGAGCTCTTTCTGGGAGAAGAGTGTTTCCATTTTGCTGACAAACAGATTCCAACATATGCCCAGGAGGAACTCACCCATTTATAAGAGTAAACTTCTTCCAACTGAAACTTTCCAACCTTAAACTGAAAAGCTTGCAATATTCTAGGGGTTTTAGATGCAGATGATCAAGCAAGAACTGAGATACAGTCCCAATTCAACACTGCTGCAGAAGTGTAGCCAGGCAATTGTGCATCTGGGGCAGTACTGGCTATTTTTGCCCCCAAAGATAACACTTGGGATTGTTGTCCCAGGTACCCCCCCATTCAGTTACACAACTACACCACTGAGTGCTACTGAAACTCATTCAGCTAACACTGAAGATAGGATCCTACCAGTATTTGGAAAAAAACCCAAAACATTCCTATAAACTAAAAACATGCCTGTGAAACCAAACCTAGCATTTTAAGGGCATTTTCATTATAAGCACTGACACAAACAAAAAGGATGTAAAAAAGACTGCTGCTTTACAGAGCATCAGCTGCTCCACAACTACAGCTGGGTTCTGAAAGAAAGATATAAGCTACCATGGGTGTTTTGTTTACTGCGACATAGGACTGTGGACTTGGGAAGCCGATGTGCTATATCAGCATTTCTCAACTCGTGGGTCGCAAGAATATCAAAAGGATCGTGAACAAACTTTTAAAATGGATTTTCCCTTAAAAAAGAAAAATACAGGAAACCATGGCTTTTCCTTCTGGCCTGTGAAGGGCTGCCTTCCCCCCACTATAATCCACACACCTCCCCCCATCCCACACACAAGGAGGTTGGGGCCTGGGAACAAGTCAGGAGTGAAGAGCACTGGGTCAGAACTGGCCACTGATGTTATAAATGGGTTCTGGTAAAAAAAAAAAATGTTGAGAACCACTGCTATACAACCCTGAGTCAGTCCAGATCTGCCTCCAAAAAACACCCATGAAAAATAATACCTTTTGCTGCTTACTGGTCAAAAGTGAAAGTAGTGTGTGCATTATCCACACGGAGCAGAACATGAGCAGGCTTGGCTCTCTAGCTACTGCTACTCAGTTGCTTGCTACAAGGGAAGGATTTTTCTTTATTTTGCCTTTCAAAAACAGGTGCAGAGCTTATTCTGGGAATATGCTGAATGCAGGAAAAAATATGGTATTTTATTATAAAGAAATATTTACAAGCTCTGTTACAGAAATTTTAGAAACGTTAGGCAGGAAAAGGAATTTAAAAGGAAGCATAAAAATGATCATGCTACAACAAAGGAGGAATTATTTATATAGGACTGTGGCTCTCAAACTTTTCAGACTTAAGGCACCCTTAAAAATGCCAGCTCTTGGTCTTCACTTGCTCTTTGACTACAGAAAATAGAGCAATTCTTTTGTTGCAAAAGAACCAGAATATTTTTGAAACTATGGATTCCTGTATGAAATCTCTGGGTTTATCTTGTGAATCATGGTTGCACACCCAACTGTGCTAACATTCTGCAACCATGAAAAAGTTTCAAGGAATATACCTGTCGTCTTACAAAGCGTATTTTGGATTTCTGTACTCAAAGGTTTTGACCATAGTAAATTATATGAAGTTACCTTAAAAGGTTGTGTACTTGCCATCAGTTTAGTATCCAATAGCCTAAAAATGAAAAGAGAAATAAAGGATATAGCATTTCCTTATTAAAAACATTTCTACTGCTTAGCAAATTATGCAAATTCTTCAAGTCTACTCTATTTTATCTACTGGAAACCAGAAATATAACTCTCCAGAATCCAGAGTTAAATCTAAGGAGAACACTAAAATGAAGTTGTTTTTTTTTCCATTGGGAGAGAGGGAGTGGAAACCAAACTTCATGGAAAAATATTAGTAATATCAATAGCAAATAAACCTTGGTCCACATACAATTAAAGGGTCAGAACAATAATTTTCAAGACAGAAGCTTGTATGTAAAGCTTTATCTTTGCTACAAAGTACACTGATGTCAAAAGTATTACGAATATGAACCACACATCCACATGGATTTTTAAATTAAATTGACCATAAATCATTCTACACTGGAATTCCGATCACAACTATATCTTTAAGCTTAATCTAACCGAGAGAATAGTTGGAACATGACAGCTGGTACCAGCTGCAAGCGAAGTGCAAGTAAAATACTGGTAAGTGTGAACGGAAGGCAAATCTTACCTGGGAAAAACACAGGATGTTACTTCCTTGAACTCATTAAGGTCCTAAAATGGAAAATAATTTCGTTACCACCAGGTAATTACTCCACCAGCACCAATAGCCAAGAATAAAATGTAAAATTCACTTGTTTACTTTTATTAGAAACTCTAAACTTAAAGCTTGATTTCTTCCAACTTAAATGTTATTTACATAGCTTTACAATATTTAAATCAGTGAAGACCTAAACTTTAAAAACTCTTTTCACCATCATTGACAGAATACTGTCAATTCTCTCTCGTACAGTTAAAATACCATATTGCTTGAAGTATTTGCAAGTGCCAAAGGGGCTAAATGCAATTCATCTGGGATGATCTCAACTTTTTTAGGTTAAAACATCCTCCATAATTTTTCTGAATTTTGTGGCACCTCAGGTAAGAATCATACGTTTAGAACCTCATAGATGAATCCCTTTCCTCCATCCTCTTTCATGCTTCATTTGTTTTTGTCTTTACCCAGTTGTCTTCTTTAGTCAAGACGAACACTGACATACCCAAGGGGACAAGCACAACACTTCCCACTACAGAGGCCTCTTCCAGGGTCTCACAATGTCTGTTTCTCCATTGCCCCTCATCCCCTTCCTCTGTTCTTTTCTTATTTGGTTTCATGGCTTTGCATCCAATAGATAAAAGTGATGTGCCTTTAAAAATCAATGTACACCTCATATTGCTTGGGATACTGGCTATTATACAGCAGGAAACTGCCACTTTGCAAGAAGCCTGTCCAGAGATGTCAGCACCTACTGTTGTAAGCAGTGGCACCTGATTCACAGAGCTTCTAAAAGCAGAAATGCAAGCTCAGATAAAACAAGCTCTTCCAAAGAAAAGCAGCTGTTCCTCCAGCTGGGGCTGCTCCCTTTCCTAAGCGACTAAGGATGCTTTGCTGTGTGCCAGGTAGCAGGTCGGCATCATCATTTGGTTAACCACCTGCCTAGGGAGCTTGGGAAGAGCAGGGGACTAGCCTGGCTATAAATCACAGCTCCACAGCCCTATGTCAGCTGACCTGCCCATAGCATAGCAAACTGCTTGAAGCACAGGATCACTCAGTGCAGGCAGCAGCACAAATCCCAAAAGTAACGGCCATTCCACTGCTTGTCCATGGAGTGCTGGGGCTAAGAAGTGCTGACAGCGGCTAGGCTTCACAGCACCCCAGTTGAGAATCAGTGTCTTAGAATGTTACAGTCATTTCATAAGAGTCAATTGATTTTTCATTCATGTCTGAAATACAGTTCTAGGACAAAAGGCCATCCCTCTAACTGTATACTGAATAGAATTTCACAGCTTTTAGAACAGATGTTTCAGAGCACAATCATGTTAGTTTACTTTCATTTGTACACAACTAGGTTTGTTTTCATAAACATTTAAACACACTAGAAGACGGGAGGGCAATTAGTTGGGCTAGAGTGACATTTAAGGAGTTTTGGTGAGATGTTGCAAACCATGGGGTAGAGCTGACCTGGCCCCAAGTGGCACAGCAGGGCGAGAAAGACAGAAAGGGGACAATTGATCCTAGGGGTGCACAGAGATTTTGGGGGCCAATACCGACAGCCGATTTTTAAGGAGGCATATCGGCCAATACCGATCCAATTTCCAATACCAGCCCAGCAGCCTGAAGAGCAGTGTCCAGCTGGTAAGTCTGTTGTCGTGGAAGGGAAGGAGCGTGTGGAGGCAGATCAAGGCCTCCCGGTGAGGGAGGGAGTAGGCCTGGGGTTAGTGCTGCCCAGCCGGGGTGGGACAGGCACGGGATGGAGCTGCAGCTTGTCTGAGGGGCGATTTCCAATACAATTTTCTTTATATCGGTGACCATCCGATATCGGACTGATGTATTGGTGTACCTCCAATTGATTCTATCCAGCCCCAGGCCCAACCACCTTGCACCCACTGCCAGGGGCACAGGATGGAACAAGAGGGTGGGGTCACCATGGAAACTGGCCCAGGGGTGCCTGCCATGTAGATGGGATGAGGGCATGGGCAGGAAGGGAGCCGTGTCCAGGAATGTGGGGTGGTGACAGTGCGGGTTTGGGGCCCGAGGTAGAGCCACAATTTGCACCCCACACTTCCCTGCAATGGACGCTGGTTCCAGAGGCAGAGACGTGCAGGGAGCAAGTCACAGCTCTACACTGGGTCCTTGCCGCACACTGTCACCACCCCATGATCCCAATGCCAACCCTGATCCCAGCCACTTGTCCCACCCACCCACAGCCCCTCCTATTTGCCCAATCTAGTATGCCTATACCCACAAGGGTCCTGAGCTAGTCTCCACGGAGACCCCACCTGCCTGCTCCATCCAGCACCCCTTGCAGTGGGTGTGGGGAGGATGGACCAGGTCCAGTGGCATTAACAAAGACACTGGCAGCAGCCAGCCACCATGCCACCCCTGCCCTGTCACACACTAGGGGACAGAACTGGCCGCACATGCCATGGATCAGGCTGCCACTGACACCAGGGATAGGCAGGCTGAGGGTCCCAGCGCAGGCCAGACAGAATCCCTTGGCAGGCTGGATTCGGCTTGCAGGCTGCATTTTGCCCACTCCTGCTCCAGAATCCTCATTATTTAGTGGCACCTCACACCTACACACTTAAGTTAATTCAGTGGGTTAAGGTAATTATTTCAGCCCTAATTCGAAACTCTTCCTAGTTTTGGAAGACTGAATGCAAATTCTAGTCCATTATCCCCAAATGGCAGAATGATTTCTAATACACATTTTAAAGTTTCTATTATAGTTTGTTCAATAAACTCTGATAAGCTTCCACCCATGAGAGATTAAAAAAATAATTCTGAGGATAAACATATTATCACAAGAACTCATGTGAATTAGTTGAGACTTGAAGACATTTTATAGAGTCTAAAGACATACAAGGCGACTTACATCAGGCAGGGGACAGTAGAACTGGTGTATAGTGTGCATGACATCCAGTAGCATATTGTGTCCAATAACAAGCTTGCCCTAAAGAAAAAAAATGTTATAGGCATGAACAAAGTATTTTCAACTGCTGTATAAAACAGGAAAAGTTCAGGCAAAAATTTCATTTAATTTTTCAATCCAGTATACTTTACCTGGTGATGCAGTGTGTCTACCTGTCTTTGCTGCAAATGAATTTTGGGTATCTCTACTGTGGTAGCCCCTAATCAAAAGGGAGAAAAGACCGGTAGCAAGAGAAGGATCAGGGAAAGTGTGGATCCCTTACTGAATGGGGGAAGCATCCTTGTGACAGGATGCAGAAAAGGCTGAAGTGCTCAATGCCTTTTTTGCCTCAGTCTTCACAGGCAAGGTTAGCTCTCACACCACTGCACTGGGCAGCAGTTTGGGGAGGAGGACAGCAGTCAACAGTGGTGAAAGAACAGGTTAGGGACTATTTGGAAAAACTGGACATGTACAAGTCCATGGGGCCAGGCAGGATATACCCAAGGGTGCTGAGGGAGTTGGCTGATGAGATTGCAGAGCCCCTGGCCATAATCTTTGAAAACTCATGCCTATCAAGAAAGGCCCCAAACGACTGGAGAAGGGCAAATGTATTAGTGTCCATATTTAAGAAGGGAAGAAGGAGAATTCAGGGAACTACAGACCAGTCAGCCTCGCCTCCAATCCCTGGAAAAATCATGGAGCAGATCCTTAAGGAATTTATTTCTAAGCAGTTGGAGAAGATAATGATTAGGAATGGTCAGCATGGATTCACCAAGACATGTCATGCCTGACCAACCTTATTGCCTTCTATGACGAGGTGACTGGCTCTGGATGCGGGGAGACCAGTAGATGTGGTATACTTTAATTTATTAGCAAGGATTTGATACAGTCTTCTATAACATTCTTGCAGGCAAGCTAAGAAAGTATGGGCTTGATGAATGGACTGTAAGGTGGAGAGAAAACTGGCTAGAGCATCAAGCTAACTGTCTAGAGCATCAAGCTCAGAGGGTAGTAATCAATGGTACGATGTCTAGTTGGCAGCCAGTATCAAGTGGAGTGCCCCAGAAGTTGGTCTTGGGGCTGGTTTTGTTTAGTATCTTTATCAGTGACCTGGAAGATGGCAAACAGTGCACCCTTAGTAAGTTTGCAGATGACACCAAGCTGAAGGGAGCAATAGATACGCTGGAGGGTAGGGCTAGGATTCAGAGTGGGCTAGGCAGACTGGATGATTGGGCTAAAAGTAATCCCATGATGTTCAACAAGGACAAGTGCAAAGTCCTGCACTTAGGACAGAACAATCCCTTGCACAAGTACAGGCTGGGGACTGACTGGCTGGGCAGCAGCTCTGCAGAAAAGACCTGCGGGTACAGCGGACAATAAGCTGAATATGAGCCAGCAGTGTGCCCTTGTTGCAAAGAAGGCTAACAGCATACTGGGCTGCATTGGTAGGAGTGTTACTAGCATGTAAAGGGAAATGATTATTCCCCTCTATTCAGCACTGGTGAGGCCACATCAGGAGTACTGTGCTCATTTTGCCACCCCCCACAACTACAGAAAGAATGTGGGCATCCTGCATGCCCAAGCAATGCTCTTGTACTCTTTAGTTATTTGTCCAAGTTTCCACTTCTTATAAGCTTCCTTTTTGTGATTTAGTTTACTGAAGAGTTCCTGCTAAACCAAGTGGGTCTTATGCCATGCTTGCTAGTCCTCCTACACATTGGGATGGTTTATTCCTGCACTCTCAGTAAGGTTTCTTTAAAAAGCAGCCAGCTTTCCTAGACTCTTCTCCCCCTCAGACTGGCTTCCCAGGGGATCCTCCCCATGACTTCCCTGAGCAACTCGAAGTCTGCATTTCTGAAATCCAAGGTCCTTACTCTGCTGCTCTCCTTCCTTCTTTTTGTCAGGATCCTGAACTTGATCATCTTATGGTCAGTACTGCCCAAGTTGCCATCCACTACTACATTCCCCACCAATTCTTACTTTCCCCGTTTGTTGAGCAGCAGGTCAAGAAGAGCATGGAGCAAGTCAAGAAGACTTTAATAAAAACTTAAAAAAAACTGAAATACTTCCCCTAATATATATTACGAAGTGATGCCATAAACTTAACTGTGACAATCTAAATGGAGTGCATTCATTCTTGGCTTTTTGCAACAATAGCATATTGGGTTGTAATAACAGATGCATCTCCTGCAAGTCCAGCACTGTATTCAGCCTTGATGAGGTTTGACCTGGAGTACTGTGCCCAGTTTGGGGCATCACACGAATACAGACATAGACAAACTCGAAGTAGTCCAGTGAAGAACAACAAAAATTATTAGAGATCTTGAAAACGTGACTTACAAGGAATGGCTGAAATATTGGGATCACTTACTGTAGAGAAAAGAAGACTGAGGAGATTTGATAACATTTCAAATACATAATCTTCAAATATATGAAGGGTGGTAACAGACCATTCTCTGTGGCTGTGGGGACCAGGACAGAGTATTGACCTTAAATTGCAACAAGGAAGATTTATGTTGGATACCAGGAATAACTTTCTTACTAGCAGGGGAGGCTAAACTTTGGAACAGATTAACTAGAAAGACTGTGAAAACTACATCTTTGGAAAGCTTTAAGAGCTGGTTAGTCAAACACTTTGCTGGGACAGGATAAACAAAAATGATTCTGGCTTACACAGATGGGTGTACAGTACAAGATAGCGTTCTGAGGTCTCTTCTGGCCCTATTTGTATGATAATATTGTATGAGAACTTCACCTTGCAAACTTTAGCAGCAATTGGCTTTGCATTCTGTATGAACTAAAAACCTTTTACTGAAAAATTTAAAAAGTATGGTTTAGCGAAATGTGTTCACCAACTTACAGAATTAGCAATGGCATGGATGACTCTGGAAAATCCCACTGCATCATTAAGTTGTCCCTGTAAGTAGAGATCTATGTGTAAGTGAAGCATTAACTTAAACAACTTATAAGCACCCTGACCTCTAAAATATTTAACCAGGAACTACCTGAAATGAAAGCCCCCAATTTTGTTTAATGATGAAAGAAAAAAAATCAGACCCTGAAAAAATAGAAATATTTAGGGAAAAAAGTACCCATGAGGTCAAAACAGGGAACGTGTGTCAAAACTGTAGTTCTATTCAGAGCTCTAACTTGGGGTTAAACAAGAAAGAGTTAAACAATTCAAAACCTATGCATCAAGTCAATATCTGCATATCAACAGAACCAAGCCTTTAAGCTGTTTAGATTAAGCTCAGTAGCCAGAGGAACTGCTATCAATTAAAGTTACATATAGCTTTATTTCTACTTTACTAACTCTGAGCACTGAGATGGTTGTTAAATTGCTCACGCTCTCTAAAACTCTTGCAGAATACCTCGCATTTCTGTTACTAAACTAGCTTACTATTGTACAGCACATCAGGCAACCTAAGAGTCAGGGCAAATATCCCCACTCCCATTCCCACCACCTAGACCTCTTAACTATTGAAGCTCATAGTGGATTTTTCTTTCCTCTACAAGATATGATGATTACAATGTACAAAAGAGTGAAAACAACAGGTGGAGAAAGTTGCGACATAAATAAGCATGTAAAAGTCAAATAATCCAGTTCCCCACCCTGAACAACATTTCTATCAAAGCCCTCTCTCTCTCTCAAGATCAAATGACCAATATTTACCTGTTCTTTTTCTTGTTTCTGCTGTTCTCTTCTTTTGCGCTCTTCTTCATCTACCTTGCTAATGATAATATATCTTTCCTTCTGAAATTAGTAATGTAAAAGTATTTTAGGAATAACTATACACTAAAATGAAGACTAAAACCTTTCCAACATTAATATACAAAACAAACCACAATTTGCCATCTGAATCTACTACAAAATTATATTTCAGCTATTGTATTCACAGTTCGTAGCAGGAATTGCCTTGTAAACAAAACACTATGGCTGCTTACAGACATGGGGGGAAAAAATTCCACAGCACTTTACTTTCAGCTTGGCGCACCCCTACACTGAGCTCAGTGCATGCCCAGAAGAGGCATCACATTAGGTTTTTCAGCTCATCTAGTGTCTATATAGATCGTGTGCTTCAGCAGGGCTTTTTGGCACTTTTATCTAATAGCTGATTGAATCGGCTATTAGATAAAAGTGCCAAAATGCCCCGCTGAAGCACACGATCTATACAGACACTGGATGAGCCAAGTCAGACTGACACACATCCTCTTCTGGTAAAGCACTGGTTTGGGGGGTTTTTTGTTTTTTTTTTTTAAACATGTCTGTCAGGGGCATTATTATAAACCCTTATCCTCACCTACCTTCACCCCTATGGATTTATTTTAGCAAGGTTATTTGAGCTAAACTTAATTTTTGGTTGAAAGGAAGATACATAAACATTTTCTCCATAACTTAGAGAAACTTAGAACTTTTTAAATTAAACACTTCACAGATAATACTTATAGTCTTTGGAAGAAATCAGTATATTCTGTAGCTGCTAACAGAACAGTAATCTCACAGGGCAATAATCACATTTGACCCCAAACCCTCAATGAACCAAGTGCCAGATCCATTACTTTAAAATAGTCAGTAGCTCTACTCATGTATCAGTATTAAAGTTAACACACACAATTATGTTTCCAATCATTATTTTAGAATCCATTTATTAAAAAGTTATTATAAAGTAGTTTATCATAATTTAATAAGAAATTTTAAATGTTTACACAATAAAACTTGTTTGCCAGATAGAGCTTTAGTAGCTCAAAATTTCACTAAGACTTCAGTTTCTTGCCCTTACATCAAACAGACGTATAAAATATTAAGATAGTTACCTTCTCCGTCTCCAGAGTTTCAACATGGATACCTTTTGGATATCTACAGTAAACAAGAACAAGCAAACTAAAATTAATTACTAATTTAGCAAATACGGCACTGAAGCTACACCTTTAGAGCACCTTTTAGTTGAAATGAAAAGGGGAAATTCAAATTAACAAGGTATTAAATTTCGCCAGCTTGCACATCTGAAGTGCTTTAAACCATTGTTGGTGTTAAATTCTATTGCACTGTTACACACTGTCTGATTAACTGCTACTGTGAAATCTACAGAAAGATCTCTGTATCAAAATTTCAATGGGACTTCCTCAAAGCACTGGGTCCCTTTGGGCAAATGAATAAAATTAGTCATAATAATGATAAAATACTGCACTCATATGTAGTATAAATGTTAAGGACAACTCTGAGAAAATCTACTTGTCAAATAGTTAAGATGGAACTCAGGCCAGCGTCCAGGATTAAGGACAACAAAAAGTCCTTTTTCAAGTACATTGGGAGCAAGAAGAGAGCACCAGGCAACGTACGGCCCCTGCAAGACACAAATGGTAATCTTGTGGCTACGCCAGACAAGAAAGCTGATATTTTTAACAGTTTCTTTGCCTCCGTTTTCTTGAGCAGGGACTGGGACATCCCACCTACCAGAAGTAGGGACAATCTCAGGGATAGCTCTGTCAGGCCTTCAGTCAGTGCAGACATAGTTAGGGATCTTCTGGAAGGGCTAGACATTTTTAGATCTGCAGGTCCAGATGCCCTCCACCCAAGTGTGTTGAGGGAGCTGGCAGGGGTCATCGCAGAGCCCTTGGCCCAGCTGTATGAGCATTCGTGGTCATCTGGCCAGGTGCCAGGGGATTGGAAACTGGCTAATGTGGTCCCAATTTTCAAGAAAGGGAGGAAGGAGGACCCAAGTAACTATAGGCCTGTAAGCCTCATCTTGGTGCTAGGGAAGATCTTGGAGAGAATCATCAAGGAGCATACCTGTGGGGGGCCTGCAGGGGAGATCATGCTCAGGGGCAATCAGCATGGGCTCATCAAAGGCAGGTCCTGCCTGACCAACCTGATTGCCTTTTATGACCAAGTAACTAAATCCTTGGATGATGGTGTCGCCGTGCACGTAGTCTTTCTAGACTTTAAGGCGGCCTTTGACACCGTCTCTTACCCCATCCTCGTCAATAAATTAAGTGACTGTGGCACTGATGCCTACACAGTTGGATGGGTAAAAAATTGGCTGATGGGGC